TTGAAAAGTAAATAAAGAGAAATATGGGAATCACCCCTGAATACTCACTGGAAGGACTGATGCTGAAGCTCCAATACTTTGCCACCTGATGTGAAGAACCAACTTGTTGGAAAAGACCCTGATGCTGGGAAAGACTGAGGGCAGGAGGAGGAGGGGACGACAGAGGATGAGATGGTTGGATGGCATCACTGACTCAATGGACATGAATTTGAGCAAACTCTGGGAGGAAGTGAAGGACAGGGGAGCCTGGTGTGCTGCAGCCCATGGGGTTGCAGAGTCGGACCTGACTTAGTAACTGAACAACAAGCAAGCATCCACCTGCTTCTCCTTTATAAATCAAACTGTGGGAAGGCTGAGTAGCAGTCAAGGGGAAGTACCCCTAGACGAGCAGGACAGCAGAGTGGGGTGCTGGGCAGCCGGGACAGACTGTCGGGTCTGGGCCCTGGGCCCCCATGGCTGCCACCATGCAGAGAGACCAGTTGCCCAGCATGCCTCCTGGAGGAAGAGCACGACAGCCCTGCAGAATCTAAAGGGCGGACCTGGATCGAATTACCTTGCAGAATGTTCTTCACAGGGCAGCCCACATGGCCCTGCTTCAGCAGCCTGAGTCTGTGCAGATCTTGCAGCCCTGACGCTCCAAGTGCTGCTGCCGGTCCGCTGACCCCATGCTGGGCACGGAGTGCACAACGTAGAACAAACAACAGGTGAGTTCCAAGGACAAAGGGGGATTTAGGCAGAACCATAGAATAAAAGGGCTTCCCAGGTGGCACTAGTGGTAAAGAACACACCTGCCAATGCAGGAGATATGAGACTGGGGTTCCATCCCTAGGTCAGGAAGATTCCCTGGAGGAGGGCATGGCAATACACTCCAGTATCCTGGCCTGGAGAATCCCATGGAGAGAGGAGCCTGGCAGGTTACCGTCCATGAGGTCACAAAGAGTCAAATGTGACTGAAGGGGCTTAGCATGCACCCCCAAATAGATTAAGAAGACAAATTGCAACAACAAAAAGACACAGACCAATTACAGTGTATGGCCCATAACCGGATCTTGATCTAAGGAAACAAACTGACCAAACACTTAGGAAACACAAGAGACAGTTGGAAACTCACACAGATGGTAGTTTGATAATAAGGAAGAATTGACTTCTTATGGGATGATGATATTGTGTCATGCTTTCTTAAAGTCTTATCTTTTAGAGACACATTACATACCACCTACAAATGGCCTGTACTGAGGATTTGCTTCAGAAACTGCAGGAAGAGGATGTGCACAGGCTCTGGAAAATGGTCAGAGGCTGTCATGGTCCCACACAGAGCGCCATATGCTGCTCTCCCACTTCTGCTGCTGCTGCTGCTAAGTTGCTTCAGTCGTGTCCGACTCTATGTGACCCCATAGACGGCAGCCCACCAGGCTCCCCATCCCTGGGATTCTCCAGGCAAGAACACTGGAGTGGGTTGCCCTTTCCTTCTCCAGTGCATGAAAGTGAAAAGTGAAAGTGAAGTCGCTCAGTCGTGTCTGACTCTTAGCGACCCCACGACCGCAGCCCACCAGGCTCCTCCATCCATGGGATTTTCCAGGCAAGAGTACTGGAGTGGGGTGCCATTGCCTTCTCTGCTCCCACTTCTACATGTTTGAAATTCTCCACAATAAAAAGTGAAAAAGGAAAACACAGCACTGTCAAGACAGACACCACACTCCACTCCTGGTTCACAGTTAAACAGCAGGTGCATATTAGCGTCTCCAGCCAATTTCTCCCTGAAACACGTGGCCTCCGTGAATGCCGCCCCATTCTGGACATCCTGAAAGGGGAACCCACACCCCTAGGTCCTGCCTCCACTGCACACAAGGGCACTGAAAAGCTTCTGTGGAATGCGGTTTTAAAACATTTGATCCTAATTTTGAAAATGATCCCAATCTTGTGATAGGAGACTGAAAAAGAAAAACCTGGGAAAAACACCAAAATGTTCAAAGCAGTCAGTCACCTCTGGGTAGTGGGGTGGAAAGCGTTTGAGTTTTGTGTTGTGTCCAGCTCCCCCAAAATGTCTAGTGAGCAGGTATCACTCATCAGATAACAAATTAGATATTTATTTTTCTAAGTAACCTTCTTTTTTTCCTTAATACCAGTAATGTTTCTTTAATCATAACTTTCAAGTTGAATGGGTGATCTTCAGAACTGAAAACTTTTATAAAAGATGGCTGGAAAACATTTGAGCTTTTTTGCAGGCTGCCTGACCATCCTATAGCTGAAGCTGGGCTCCTCAGACTCTGCTCCTGAGTTATTTTAACGTGCACAGTCAGTTTCCCTGGAAGTCTGCCTCCTGGGGTCGAAGGCACCCTCGCAGCCCTGGCTGACCCACTGAGGAAGCGGAAGCTGGCCACCTGCCAGGTGGAGGGGGCCACGGGGTGGGGAAAGCACAGGACAGAGGCCCATGGGCTCCAGAGCTTCCCGACCCAAACCACTTGGCTTTTTCACAGCCCGCTTCTGGCAGATGAGAGGAAATAAACCCACGCACTCATTAAAGGCTTCCCTAGGAGGACGCGGAGACCTAGGTATCTCTTAAACAGCAGACACAAAAATATCACCCTGGATTCGAGTACTGAATTCTCAAACACTTAGCCGGTGTGGGCAAAGGTTAGGAAACAACGCTCCCTGAGGCCGCGCTGGGCCCAGGGATCAGGAGCCACAGCCCTCCAGCCCCCCAGAGCCGAGGGCGCCCACTAGCACGCCGGCCAACACTGGCGAGCTGCCATTAAGTGTTAAGTTCCGAGTTCGCTGCATGATGCGGGGGCCCCCACGCCTGCTGCACCTGCGTTGTCATGGCCCACACACGGTTTCCAACAAGGTCACTGCTGCAGAGCCCAAGGCTCAGGGCACTAAGCCACCAGGGCCCCGATGTCTCCCAGCCTCCCCCTCCCAGTGAGGACGAGTGCGCTGGCCACCCACACGGCCCGCTCCGCAGCTGGCCGTGAGATCCTGCACCCCTTACAGGCGAGGTTCAAGGGGCACAGATCACAGACGCTCTTGTCTCAGAGGAAACTAAGCTGCAGCTACTCCCTGGTGAGGAATCTGCGATACAGGAGCCCTACTTCCCGGGCACCCGCAGCAGCACGGTCAGCACCACCTCCGGTGAGTGCTCCCAATCACAGCAGGGAGGACGGTCCTCGCAGCCCTGGCTGACACACTGCGGAAGCGGAAGCTGGCCACCTGCCAGGTGGAGGGGGCCACGGGGTGGGGAAAGCACAGGACAGAGGCCCATGGGCTCCAGAGCTTCCCGACCCAAACCACTTGGCTTTTTCACAGCCCGCTTCTGGCAGATGAGAGGAAATAAACCCACGCACTCATTAAAGGCTTCCCTAGGAGGACGCGGAGACCTAGGTATCTCTTAAACAGCAGACACAAAAATATCACCCTGGATTCGAGTACTGAATTCTCAAACACTTAGCCGGTGTGGGCAAAGGTTAGGAAACAACGCTCCCTGAGGCCGCGCTGGGCCCAGGGATCAGGAGCCACAGCCCTCCAGCCCCCCAGAGCCGAGGGCGCCCACTAGCACGCCGGCCAACACTGGCGAGCTGCCATTAAGTGTTAAGTTCCGAGTTCGCTGCATGATGCGGGGGCCCCCACGCCTGCTGCACCTGCGTTGTCATGGCCCACACACGGTTTCCAACAAGGTCACTGCTGCAGAGCCCAAGGCTCAGGGCACTAAGCCACCAGGGCCCCGATGTCTCCCAGCCTCCCCCTCCCAGTGAGGACGAGTGCGCTGGCCACCCACACGGCCCGCTCCGCAGCTGGCCGTGAGATCCTGCACCCCTTACAGGCGAGGTTCAAGGGGCACAGATCACAGACGCTCTTGTCTCAGAGGAAACTAAGCTGCAGCTACTCCCTGGTGAGGAATCTGCGATACAGGAGCCCTACTTCCCGGGCACCCGCAGCAGCACGGTCAGCACCACCTCCGGTGAGTGCTCCCAATCACAGCAGGGAGGACGGTGTGATGGGGAGAAGCAGCAGAAACAGGCAGTGCTGATCACCTTTACAGCCTAAGCGACACTCAGTGGTCCAGGCTACTCACTGGAGCTGAAGGCCGACCCATCTTCTACACAGACTCACAGTAAAAACAGAAGCTACACAAGAGGAAATGATTTGCTCAAAGGGAAAGAAAATAACTATCAAGAAAAAAAAAAGAGCAGGGTAGGAGCGCAATCCACAGAAGTCCCTAAATTAAACAAACTCCAGAGAATACCCTTCTCTAAACAGCAACTGAGACTGAACACACACAGCCTCAGATGAAATAAAGCGAGAACTGTCTTAGATTCAGTCATTAGACAAAACAAGTACAACACCAAACCCCCTGCAGAGAGAAGCCCACCAGCCCACTTGGTCAAACACAGAACATCAGCTTGGAATGAACACTGTCAAAGGAAAAGGCAAAACCAGCAGCATCATCTTCTATTTTCTAAGCTGCCAAAAAATGCACGTGGATTGAGCGTGGGATTCACCAACCTGAACTCATCGACCCTTTGAATGTGCCCATTCAAAGCCCACAAAGCATGACGCCAGGTGAATGTTTAACAAGGTACATAACTGATCCCAGTTGACTCAGGAGGAAGACAAAAATGGAGAGGCTGTGTTTAGAGCACAAGCCACACAGAAGGTCAGAGATAAACCCGCCTCTGCAGGGAACGTCTGTCTCCAGCCTGATCAAGCCAGAAACAGACCAGCAGTACCACCTCCTGCCTGATGAGGGTCCAGTGGGACCACGGTCACAGCCAAGGGTACGTTAAGAAGAGTTGATCACTTGCCCAAGTCCCAGCTTCATGGATATGTTGTCGAGTCAGTCACTGGAGAATGCGGCTGCCATGACAGATGCCAGCGCCACTTGGCGAGACAGTGACTGCCCGGAGGCCACTGGGCGAAGGCAGCCCAGTCTCTCCCCAGGAGCTCCGGCTGAGTGCCCCTCCTGGAGTTACTGGGCTTTCTCCCCAGAGCTGCCAGTCACCCACCTGAAAAGACCCGGCGTTTCAGGTTCAGCTCGTTGGCCACGCGGACCTCGGTACAGAGCTTCAGCATAAGCAGCATGGTCAGGATCATGACGACACTCTGCCAGAGCAGTGGCGACTCAAAGCGCCTCCCGAACCTGCGGGGGAACACGCCGTGGCATCAGGGAGGCACCGGGCAGAGCCCCGTGTGCTGGTCGGTCAGCGCTGGGGTGGGAGGGCCCAGACCAGTACTGGACAGCCAGATCCCGGGTCTCCACAAACGCCTGGGATCATGTGCAGGAGGGAGACATGCCACACATCCCTCCCCAGGAATTGCTGGGACCCTCCCAAGGCCTCAAACTGACTGTGACTGGGCCTCCTGCACACCGCCCACCTCCGAAAAGCCCAGCCAGACCCATCCATCACCCTCCTGCAGAGATGCTGCTGCCACCAGGTGAGAAGCACAGGCTCTAGACCGCCTGCCTCCCCAGGAAGATGCATCCCAGAGTCGGGACCAAGAGTAGCCCCGCCCCCTGCCTGCAGAGAGGAGGTCTCCAGGCCAGCACAGTCTGAAGTGTGAGCAGAGCAGGGCACCAGGCCCCCACCCCTCACGAGGGAAGAGGCAAAGGCAGCAAGGGTATGGATGTGGGCCTGGCAGACCCCCACTGAAGCCCCATGTCCCCCTCTTCTCCCAGCCCCAGCCCACCCAGCTACAAGACCCCAGGCCTTCCTGCTGACTTTTGTGTTGAGCATTTTACCAACTCAGCCAAAAGTTCCTGAAGGCCAGAGCCACAGTCCAGTGACCAGCACCAGTGGGCCCATTAGAAGACCCCAGTCCCCAAGGGGTGATCACAGCACTGCCCTCCACATACCAGCTGGGGGTCTCAAATGTGGCCAAGAGAACCACGGGGGCTGAGACATTCGATCCAGCCCACTGTAAGCCTGCAAACCCATCACCCCAAGGTGAGGCCTGGTCACACCCAGGTCCCAGTCCTTACTTGGCTGTTCTGGGGCAGAGAGTCCACTAGGAGCAGTTTCCCAAACCTGAGCTGGTACCAACCATCAGAGTCGAGAGGCCCTGGATGGCCCTCCAACTGAACCTGGAAACCAGGCGACAGGTAGACAATGGCCCACCTCCCCGCCCCTACCCCCCACATCCCCTTCAAGGAGGCGGTCACCAAGCACTGCCGCTGCTGGGGCCACACGCATTCTTCCACACAGGCTGGCTCTGGCCACCATGCCACCCCGGCCCTCAGGCTGCGACCCACCGCCTCCGGGCTTCGTCTCTTCTGTAAAGTGTTAGACCCACAAGCACTATGGCTGTTTGAGGATATTTCTAGCCAGTTCCAGGAACTAGCCCCGACTGGTTACCTAGCTGACCCCAGGGGCTGACTGACCCATAGATAATCCAGAAGAGTAGACACAGAAAGGTCTATATTAGACTGGGGGCACTGCAGCAGGTGGGCATCACAATAAACACTTCGGTCTAGTGTTTCACTTCTAGTTAGTTACAAGACTGAAGACATGGGATTTGGGCCATTGTGTAATAAATGCCACTTCCATTTTTTAAATTGTTCAACAGAAACAATGAGTGACTAGAAAAGCTGGGGAAAAAATGAAGGTTTGTGCTTTACCTTCTACCACACACCAAAAAATCAAATCTAGGTGAATTCAATATTTACAGTAAAGAAAGAGATATTTACAGTGAAGTACGGGTGGTGGCAGAGGTGAATATTTAACTGCTTTTAGGGTGAAGACAAGCTAAACAAGACACAAAATTTCAAAAAGCTCAACTTCCCACAAAAGATATACAAGCAACAAAACAAAGTTCAACATCATTAGTAATTTTTAAAAGCTCATTAAAATAGACCCTATGTTGTACTCATCAGGTGGGTTAAACTTCTCCTTTTAACCCTTGCAATCTGTCCTGGCATGTTGTCAGAGAGCCCTTTCTCCTCTCCTGCCTTGAGAGTGAGGTGGGCACAGCCTCTCATGCAGATGATGGGAGAGCCCGGCTCAGGGGAGCTGGTCCAAGCACATCCCCCCAGGGTGCAGCACACACCTGTCGCTCCCAGGGAGACACACTGCAGAAAATGTGCAAAGTTTCACAGAGCTTGAGAAAAGTTTCCACCAGGAACACCTCTGATGCGCCTTCAAAGCCCCAGAGAAAAGCTCAAGTGGAAGAGAAGCTGGTATCTATTTCTTGCCCCCACCAGACTGCCTTCTGCCCAAATAGCAGATTGCCACTACCCCACTGATACAGTGTCCTGGAGTCTTGGATACAATTTTACTACATCTCCAATACAATGTCACCACAGTTCTGGTACAGTGTAACAATCTCTCTGATCAGACAGGGATGTGACTGGAGAACTAGCTCCCAGATGAATCAGGCCCTGGGTCAGAGGCCCTGCAGCACCATCCCTGCACTCTGGGCCTCTCCCTCCCTTCTCTGCAAAAATCACTTAGTCCTTCTGGCTTCTAACAACACAAATGCCAAGTCCTGTCCATCAGCACTGTGCATGATCTGCTGAGTGCTGGTTCTGCAAAAGGATGGGAAGAATCATAATAATGAAAGCATTAGTCTCGTGACTTTCAGAAACCTGGGGTTTATGTAGCTTGGTCAGCCTCCAACAGGCCTGCAAAGCCACTCACATGCCTCATGCTAGAAATTTCTCAGAGGGTTCCCAGGCAGACAAGAGTTTCTAGGCCTTCCCGGCAAGCTCTCGGGAACTACGCTCGTCCCTTCCTCTATGTCCACCACTGTCCTTACACAGACCCGGCTCCATCCCACCTGGAGCCCCTGACCTGAGCTCTGTCCCTCCCCACCACCCAGAACCCATGTGTGCATCTGTACAGCACTGCTGCTAAAGCTTTAACCCTACAGCATCTGCCCAGGGTCTGGTTCATGAGAAACCCTCAGAAACCTGTTAAATGAAATGGGCTGCTAACCTATGAAGACTGGAGGGGACTCTGTTAACCTATGAAGCCTGGAGAGGACCCAGGAGTAGGTGCTTTGGAGGCTGCAGAGAAAGGAAGGAAATGGGTCACAGGCATTGCCCTCAGAACAGAGGGACCTTGGGACCAGGTGGGCAGAGACGCACACACTCATTACAAGTTGTAGGCGGAGCCTGGCCTGTCTGCTGGGCTTAACCACATGAACTACGAAGTACTGCCAGGAGTGAAGTATAGAGAAAGCACACTACCAGGTCAGAGCGACGCTGGAGCAGAGACCAGCGCCCCTTGCCAGCCCTTCCTTCTTCCCTAGGATCTCACAGGCTTCTGGGATCCTGGCTGAAGGCAATCCTGTGGGTTCACAGGGCAGCCACTGAAACCCTGAAGTGACCCCAGCCAGTTGAGGCAGCTCAATCCTCCTCTGTTTGAAGAAGACCTGCTGCCGCCTAAAGGAAGTGCGGCTCCCAAGCTGGGGGACCTTGGCTGGGCTGAGCCTGGGCTGGAGCTCCAGCGTGACAGCAATCTGGGGCCTGCTTCTGTGCCCCTCAGACCCAGCAGCAGGCAGCCGAGAGAGGGAAGGGGGGCGTCTTGCTGCAGTGAGAGTGCTAACCTCAGCCAAGCAGAAAGGAAGAGTCTTCAAAATGCAGTTTTTCAACAAGTTAAAAGATAAGTGACCTCTGACCCCTCCTTTAGAAGTAGACTGGCCCAAAGGCAGGGCTCACAGTCTGACAAATTCTCCTGGAAGAAGGGGTCACTCACCAGCTCACATTTTAAAACACCACACTGAGCAAAAAAACACAGTGAGAGTGCCCAAGGGCTGCCTGGGGCCAGGTGGTCAGAAGGTGAAGGAGCTGAGAATTTCTGGACTCCGGGACTCACACCCTGATGACTGTGGAGGGGACATCAGCCAAAACTCATCAAAATGCACACGTGTGATTGCGCTTTTCTTTAATGTAAATCCTACCTCAGTAAGGCTGACTTAAAATTAATTAGAAAGAAAGCTCGATTTCTCCAACAGTGACCCAAAAGTCAACAGGAGCCAGAAGCAGCACTCAGAAGCCAGCAGCTTGGTACTAGCTGCCCTTACTGTCTGCGCTGACAGAGGGCCTGGGACCCCGTGAAGGAAGGACAGTCCCAGGTTTTACTGAAATCAGGAGGCTTCGAGACCTCTTCTCATTTCCACTGAAAATGCACCTTCCCAGTTAGATCTGGCTTCAACAGCTGTTAAAATAACATCCCGCTCCTTACCAGAATGCAAATGCCAGTAAGAGGAAGCTGACTGGGAGGAGCAAGAAAAAACAATCCATTAAGTACTAGCCAGAAAATTGACTTACTATTAAAAAACAACAACATAAAATCCCACACACAACAGAGAAGGCAGGAAAGGCAGCCCTTCAAGGCAGACGCCCAGAACACTGCTTCCTTTCCGGCTCAGACGCGCCTCCTGACAGCTTTCACTGGCCAGTGCTTTGTCCTTCCTGCTGACCGCCTTCGGTCACTGGTATTCATGAACTCCCTTCCTTTTCTCTCCACTGCCCCCCAAATGGCACGCAAATGCCTGAGGGCAGGGACCCTGTCCTAGAGGCAGCCCCACAGAGAAGGCCCTGGGTATCTTGTGAAGGTAGGAGCCATACGAAATGAAGACGCAGATCTGAGACTGTGTGAGATTCTCCACTCCATTCCCACCATTTTCCCTGGGAAATAGTCTCATCGTTTCACAGCTCCTTCTCAGGAAGTACAGACACTTCCACCCACTGGCCTCACACAGACAAGAGAAGGCCATCGGCGCGGGGCACCCCACCTACCAGAAGAGTATCCGTAAGATATTGGCCACCAGGAGCACCAGACACACGTAGGTGGAGAAGCCCTCGGCGTTCTGAGTCCGCCGGATGTCCCGGTACTGCGGGATGTATGGCACCACGCCTCCGAAGACCATGGCCCCGGCTGCGCCCCAGGAAACCAGCTGGTGCAGCGGGACCAGAAGCCAACCCAAGCCTTCCGCTTCCATCCCGCTCGCCCGGCGGCCCGGCGGATGACTGACGTCCACCCGGCCCGCTCGCCCTCCGCGCTCCCGGCGCGCGCTGTCACCCCCACGTGCCGCCGCCGCCCGGGACCATCCTCCGCAGCGGGCCTGGAGAGAGGAAAAGAAGTAAGGACTCTGCCGGGCCGCCTAGCCCGGGGGAGCCGCGCCCCGCGCATGGCCCGAGGCCCAGGCGCGCCCAGGGTGCACCGCCGGCTCGCGCGCGGGGCACGACCCCTCCTGGGGCGCGCACCCGGGGCTCCGCGGGAGAACCGAGGCGCGGGCCGCCAGCCCGGGGCCGGCAGGGGGATTTGCCGTCGGGGTGGGGGCTCGGTTCCCGGGGTGGGGCGTCGCACAGCCTGGGGATCAGAGGGCCAGGAGAGGGAGCTCCGGCCCAGGTGGACGCGCCGCCGGGGCAGCCCCTCACCCCAGCCGCAGGCCAGGCAGACTTGGCGCGGCCCCCGCGTCCACGTGCTCCGCGTACCCCTTCCGGCTCACCCCTGAGGCCCGATTCCGGCAGTCTGTCCGCTGTCAGTCCGTCGGTCCGCACACCGGGCCCCGCCTCTGAGTGACGTCACAATACGTAGTCCCGCCCACACCAGGCGGCGGGAACGTTTCCGCGGGGTCCTAGTGCGCGCCAGCGAGCGGGCAAGGTGGGGCGGGACCCGGGCGAAGTCTGGGGTCGGCCAGGTTAGGAAACAGTTGCCTGGCAAAGCCACTTCTGGGCCACCGGCTCACGTGGCCCGGCTCCGCCTGTTCTGCAGCGGGTGGCCGCGTAGACCGGGTCCTGCCGCCGCCCCAAGGGTCAGCGCGAGGCCTGGGGGAGAAATCAAAGTCCGTTTTGAGCAGGCAAAAGAAAGAATCTTTCAAAAATCTATCTTGTTTCAAGTTCTAAACAAACTGGCAGTAGGATATTGATCTTGGTCCAAGTTTGAGAAAATGCAGACCCTTTCTACCTGTGGGAGGCTTAAGCCACTTCCCCCTTTTCTGTTTTCTTAAGTCTTCATTCTGCAGGTTTGACCACTTGTTCACGCAAAGAAACCCCTGGAAGGCATTCCACCACCCCCCCCACCCCCAGGGAGCTGACAGATGTTACAGGGCTGAGTCTAGGCAGCCTCCTGGCGTGGCTCTTTCGCACAGCCAGCTCTGAGAACCACTGTTTCAAAATTCACAACGTAGACAGGAAGTCCTCATGATTCAGGTTAATTGCTTCTGGGAAAGGCACTAACTATAAACAGGGCCAGAATTGCATAATAAATAATTAGTGGGTTAAAAAATAGGTGCTTATGTTGCATTAAAAATAGAAGTTAAGGGACTTCCCTGGTGGTCCAGTGGCTAAGACTCTGCAGTCCCAACGCATAAGGCCTGGGTTCAATCCTTGGTCAGAGAACTAGATCCCACATGGCGCAACTAAGACCTGGCACAGCCAAATAAATAAATAAAGGAAATATTTTTAAAAAAATAAGTTAAAATTATGAGATATTGCAACAACCAATAAAAGGAAGCAAAAAAAATTTTCTATGCTCAAAATCTGTGTATCCACCGATATATTTAAAATGGATAACCAACAAGGACCTTCTATATGGCACATGGAACTCTGCTTGATGTTATGTGGCAGCCTGGATGTGAGGGGAGTTTGGGGGAGAACAGGTATATGTATAAGTGAGTCTCTTCCCTGTTAACCTGAAACTATCACATTGTTAATCGCTATACCTAAGTATAAAATAGGAAGTTTCAAAAAATCTGTATATCCAAATAAGTACCCTAAAAGAACTCTTCTTTTCTTACAGAATTTTTAAGTGAGAATTTCGAACATACACAAGAGTAGAGATTGTAGCACAGTGAACTCCATGTATCCATCACCCAGCATCAATAACTATAAAAGAGCTCTTTTAATGAATATAAAATAAAAAACAGCACGGCGAATTGGCAGCATTTCTCCCTTTTTGGCAATAAAGATGCATCTTAAAGTCAGCAGCATCTTAGATTGAAGGCCTTAGAAATTAAGCCATTCACATGGACTCAGAGGGGCATCTGGGCGCTTCCGCTGGCCTTCATGCTTCAGGGATAGAACTTCCTCTTACATCCAGTACAGTTCGTTCAGTCGCTCAGTCGTGTCTGACTCTTTGTGACCCCATGGACTGCAGCACGCCAAGCTTCCCTGTCCATCACCAACTCCCTGAGCTTCCTCAAACTCGTGTCCATCAAGTGGGTAATGCCATCCAACCATCTCATCCTCTGTCGTCCCCCTCTTCTACCTTCAGTCTTTCCCAGGATCGGGATCTTTTCCAGTGAGTCAGTTCTTTGCCAAAGTCAGTTCATGGCCAAAGTACTGGAGTTTCAGCTTCAACATCAGTCCTTCCAATGAATATTCAGGACTGGTTTCCTTTAGGATTGACTGGCTTGATTTCCTTGCAGTCCAAGGAACTCTCAAGAGTCTTCTCCAACACCACAGTTCAAAAACATCAATTCTTCGGCGCTCAGTTTTCTTTGTGGTCCAGTGCTCACATCCATACATGACTAATGGAAAAACCATAGTTTTGATTCTATGGACCTTTGTCGGCAAAGTAATGTCTCTGCTTTTTAATATGCTGTCTAGGTTGGTCATAACTTTTCTTCCAAAGAGCAAGTGTCTTTTAATTTCATGGCTGCAGTCACCATGGGCAGTCATTTGGGAGCCCAGAAAAATAAAGTCTGTCACTGTTTCCTTTGTTTCCCCATCTATTTGCCATAAAGTGATGGGACCAGATGCCACGATCTTCTTTTTTTGAATGTTGAGTTTTAAGCCAGCTTTTTCACTCTCCTCTTTCACTTTCATCAAGAGGATCTTTAGTTTCTCTTTGCTTTCTGCCATAAGGGTGGTGTCATCTGCATATCTGAGGTTATTGATATTTCTCCTGGCAATCTTGATTCCAGCTTGTACTTCATCCAGTCCGGCATTTTGCATGATGTACTCTGCATATAAGTTAAATAGGCAGGGTGACAATATACAGCCTTGATGTAGGCTTAATGTAGAACCATTCCTTTCCCAATTTGGAACCAGTCCATTGTTCCATGTCTGGTTCTAACTGTTGCTTTTTGACCTGCATACAGATTTCTCAGGAGGCAGGGTAAGGTGGTCTGGTATTCCCATCTCTTGAAGACTTTTCCAGTTTGTTGTGATCCACACAGTCAAAGGCTTTAGCGTAATCAATAAAGCAGAAGTAGATGTTTTTCTGAAATTTCTTGCTTTTTCTATGATCCAGAGGATGTTGGCAACTTGATCTCTGGTTCCCTCCCTTTTCTAAATCCAGCTTGAACATCTGGAAGTTCTTGGTTCACATACTGTTGAAACCTGACTTGGAGAATTTTGAGCATTACTTTACTAATGTGTGAGATGACTACAATTGTGTGGTAGTTTGAACATTCTTTGGCATTGCCTTTCTTCGGGATTGGAATGAAAACGGACCTTTTCCAGTCCTGTGGCCACTGCTGAGTTTTCCAAATTTGCTGACATATTGAGTGCAGCACTTTCACAGCATCATCTTTTAGGGTTTGAAATAGCTCAGCTGGAATTCTGTCACCTCAACTAGCTTTGTTCATAGTCATAATTCCTAATGCCCACTGGACTTCACACTTTAGGATGTCTGGCTTTAGGTAAGTGATACACCATCATGGTTATCTGGGTCATTAAAATCTTTTTTTGTATAGTTCTTTTGTGTATTCTTGCCACCTCTTCTTAATATCTTTTGCTCCTGTTAGGTCCATATCATTTCTGTCCTTTATTGTGCTCATCTTTGCATGAAATATTCCCTTGGAATCTCTAATTTTCTTGAAGAGATCTCTAGTCTTTCTATTCCATTGTTTTCCTCTATTTCTTTGTATTGATCACTTAGGAAGGCTTTCTTATCCCTCCTTGCTATTCTTTGGAACTCTGCATTCAGATAGATATATCTTTCCCTTTCTCCTTTGCCTTTTGCTTGTCTTCTTTTCTCAGCTATTTGTAAGGCCTCCTCAAACAACCATTTTGCCTTTTTGCATTTCTTCTTCTTGGGGATGGTTTTGATCACCACCTTCTGTACAGTGTTATGAACCTCCATCCATAGTTCTTCAGGCACTCTATCAGATCTAATCCCTTGAATCTATTTGTCACTTCCACTGTATAACTGTAAGGGATTTGATTTAGATCATATCTGAATAGTCTAGAGGTTTTCCCTACTTTCTTCAATTTAAGTCTGAATTTAGGAATAAGGAGGTCATGATCTGAGCCACAGTCAGCTCCTGGTCTTGTTTTTGCCGAATGTATAGAGCTTCTCCATCTTTGGCTGCAAAGAATATAATCAATCTGATTTCACTATTGACCAACTGGTGAGGTTCATGTGTAGAGTCATCCCTTGTGTTGTTGGAAGAGGGTGTTTGCTATGACCAGTGAGTTGTCTTGGCAAAACTCTCCTAGCCTTTGCCCTTCTTCATTTTGTACTCCAAGGCCAAACTTGCCTGTTACTCCAGGTATCTCTTGATTTCCTACTTTTGCATTCCAGTCCCCTGTGATAAAAAGGACATCTTTTTTTGGTGTTAGTTCTAGAAGGTCTTTTGTAGGTCTTCATAGAACCGTTCAACTTTAGCTTCTTCAGCCTTAGTGGTTGGGTCCCATCAGTCACACCAATGTTCTCATCTCTCAGAGTTAAAATTCTAGCTTTCTGATTTAAAGTTTTGTTTCATATTTAGCTGCTGTTCTTGTGGTCTGTGTCTTTGATTCCATTGTGTACTTCTTGTGAGTGAAAGTGTTAGTCTCTCAGTCATCCAACTCTTTATGACCCCATGGATTGTAGCCCACCAGGCTCCTCTGTCAATGGGATTGTCCAGGCAAGAATACTGGAGTGGGTAGCCATTCCCTTCTCCAGGGGATCTCCCTAACCCAGGGATCGAACCTAGGTCTCCTGCATCGCAGGTAGATTCTTTACCACTGAGCGATCAGGGAAGCCCTGTGTACTTCTTACCTAGACTCTGTTTTCTTCCCCATCCTGTCTTTGCACCGGTGAAGCATTGTCTAGTTTCTGCTGCTTCACAGCACACTTGAATACTCTCCTGTTGTTGATTTGCAAGATCAGCTTCATTAGAGAATTTCCCCCCTGAACCAAGTACCTGGGATTTAATATCCTTAGCCAAATGCGTTTTGCTGAGTGATTCTCATTTCCGTATTAGTGAATTTGTGTTCCAGAAAGGCAGAACTAAGAATCTGACCCCTTCTTAGGGCTTCCCCAGTGGCTCAGACAGTCTTAAAATGCGGGAGATCCGGGTTCTATCCCTGGGTCAGGAAGATCCTCTGGAGAAGGGAATGTCAACCCACTCCAGTACTCTCGCCTGGAAAACCCCATGGACTGAGGAGCATGGGAGGCTGCAATCCATGGGGTGGCAAAGAGTTGGATACGACTGAGCGACTTCACTTTCACTTTCACTTTAAGGAGTCTAGGTGCTAGATAGAGAATGTCAGAGCCCATTTCTCCGCTAGAGATTGGGTTCTCGGGGTTATCAGAGAGTTTCTGAGTAGGTTTCCACTGAACCACAGAGATTACAGTTGAAGAAAGAAAGAAACCCCTTAACTATGATGCAATCTCTCCCCTTCCCACTCCACTTCCTGTCTTTATGGATCTGCCAGTCTAGACCTGTCCTGTGAATGGAGTCTAACCACTCATCCTCCCATGACTAGCTTCTCACTGAGCATCATGCTCCCCAGGTTCATCCATGCTGTGTCATGGGTCAGGGCTTTATTCCTTCTTATGCCTGAATTGTACTCCATCCTGAGGCAGGACCACATTTTGTTTATCCATTTGTCTGTTGGTGGACATCTGGCTATTTCCACCTGTTGACTATCATTAATAGTCAATAATGCTGCTATAAACTTTTCTGTACAGGTTTTTGTGTGGATATGTGCTGTCTTTTCCCTCGAGCACATACCTAGAGACAGAACTGAGGTTGTCTGGTAACTTTATGTCAACTTTTTATGGACCTGCCAGACTGGCTGCACCACAGCACCTTCCCACTTGGGTGTGATACTCAGACTCTGCCACTCCTTGCCCACACCTGTCATTTATTCCTTTGACTTGGGCCATCACAGTGGGTGTGAAGTGGCTCCCCTGGTGGTCTTGATTTGCATTCTCCTGACGAAAGAGGATGTTGGGTTTCTTTGCACGAAAGGCTGTGCTTCAGCACACATCCAGCAGCCAGGCGCCCCTGTGTGGTCACTTGGCCAAGACCCCTGGGGTGCTGGGGCGCCCATACAGACACAGCCCTGCCCACAGAGAGGTGCAGATGTGTAAACAAAGCAGGTACTTGCCAAGCACAGGGTCCTGGACCATCACCCATGAAATGCCCCCGAGCCATGATCCAGACAGGCCTGCAGGGCACAGAGGGAGAGAAGGCAGCAGTGATGCCTTCCTTCCAGATCCTCAAAAAATCAGAGCAGAGACTCAAGTGTTGGCCATCCTTTGTTGGTCACAGGACAGGACTAGTCTTTCTTTTCTTTTCTTTTTTTTTTTTTGGCCACCCTAGGAGGCTTGTGGGATCTTAGTTCCCTGACCAGGGATTGAATCTGGGCCCTTGGCAGTGAGAGCTTGGAGTCCTAATCACTGAACCACCAGGGAATTCCCAGAACAAAACTATTCTTAATCTTAAAGTTGGGGGCAGAAATGGCAGATGTTCAGGGAGAGGAGAGTCTCCTGGGTGGAAGATCACGAGGCCCAGGACCTTAGTGCGAACGCGGGCTGCTGCTGGACTCCATCCCCGCCCCCGCACCCCCCACCCAGCCTCCAGGATGGAAGGGCGAGTGCCAGGGGCTGGGGAGCTGGGGAGGTGTCCCCAGGCGCAGAGCCTGGCTTTGAGACGAGAAGGCTCAGGGAGTGGATGGCGGTCGTGGTCACACAGCAACGCGGTGGTACCTGATACCACCACACCGTGCGCTTAGAAGCAGGTAAAACGGAAATTTCTATGCTGTGCATTCTCTGCCAGGATGATCATTAAAAGATCGTGTTCACTCTGGGCTCTGAAACGATGAAAGTAAAACAAACAGTGGAGCTGGGACAGGCCTGTCCGCTGAGGTCCCGCCCCGCCCAGGCCGCCACCCGCGTGCCTCTCGGGTCTTAATCTGCGCGTCCCGGGCCACCGCCGCCGGGAACCCAGGGCGGCGGAGCGGACCCCGAGGAGCGGCCGACCCGGGACCTGCCGGCGCGCCTGCAACCCGGGCCTGCCGGCCGCAGACATGGACGCACCGGGCCCCGAAGCAGCCGGCTGGCGCGCACTGCGGGACGCGGTGAGTGGGGACCCTCCCGCCCTGAGCGCCCCTCCGGGATGGACGCCTTGCCCCCGAGGCTGGATCCCCTCGCCCCTCACCCAGCCCGCGAAGCGCCACCACCCCCACCCACCCCCAGCTGCTTCCCATTTGCAGAAGGAGCTGCAGTGCCAGAGATGAGATGGCCCAGGGCCGGTAATCTCATTAAGAAGATTTGGTTAGGTGTACACAGTTGAATCCACGTTTTTCTGACCAAAAAAAAAAAAAAATCTGATTGACCGCCGGGAAGCGCTCCAGACAGAGGGCCTGCTCCACACAGGAAAGCAGAGTCCAGCGGGAGACCCGCCTCGGCTCTAAAGCGGAGATAACACTGTGGGAGGAGGGAGTGTGTCCTGGACCGGGTGAGACTTCCACCTGGAAACTCGGGGCAGCTTGAGTGTGCCCGCCGTCAGTCGCAGGGATGGTGTTCCGGTTTGGCCCCCTAACAGGTTTCTGCAAACCCAGTCCCGGCGAACAAGCACCCACGAGTGTAGGGGCGGCAAGCACCCACGAGTGTAGGGGCGGCGTGCGCCCACGCGGTGTGCTCTGGGGACCCTAGCAAAACTCCTTAAGAATTCTTTGAGAAGCCGAGGTTAGAGATTTTCTCCTATGCTATCTTCTGGACGTCTGACAGTTTGTTGCTTGTATTTAAATGTCTGATGGCTTTGAGTTAATCGTTGTGGATGATGTGTGGTACGGGTCAGGCTTGCTTGCTTAGTTACGGTTGGGCTGTCACTGTTCCAGCTGTTGGTTGAATCTGTTGGTTGATTTTCTTTATCCTTTGCGTGGGAAAGCCTTCTCACCCTGTCAGGAATCAACTAACTGTAAGGTGCACCCTCTGTGAAAAACAGTACTGGAGGTTCCTAGAACAGTAAAAACAGAATTACCATATGATCCAGCAAGCCCACCTGGGGCATGTATTCAGACAAAACTATAATTTAAAAAGATACATGAGCCCCTATCTTCACGGCATTATTCACAAAAGCCAAAACACATAGAAACAATCTAAATATCCATTGGCAGATGAATGGATAAATAAGATGTGGTATGTATATGTATGTAATGGAATACTACTCAACCATAAAAAAGAATGAACTAATGCCATTTGCAGCAACATGGATGGGTCTAGAGATGATCATACTAAGTGAAGTAAGTCGGACAGAGAAAGAAAGACATCATATGATATCACTTATATGTAGAATCTAAAATATGACACAGATGAACCTATCTACAAAACAAATAGTCTCATAGACATAGAGAACAGGCTTGTGATTGCCAAGGGTAGAGGGAGGGATGAGGTGCGAGTCTGGGGTTGGTAGATGCAAACTATTACATTTAGAATGGATAAACAAGGTCCTAATATACAGCACAAGGAACTATATTCAATATCCTAGGACAAACCATAATGGAAAATAATATTAAAAAATAATATATGTACATGTATAGCTGACTCACTCAGCTGTATAGCAGAGATTGGCATGACATTGTAAACCAACTGTACTTCAATGTAAAAAAATTAGCATCAAACAAGAAATCAACTAACTGTTTTTAGGGATGGTTCCCCTTCCATGGTTCTTAGAATGCTCTGCATCACAAGTAAATATATATTCATGTGTCCTGTTCAATTTTTCAGGCAGAAAATCTATTTCAGGAACTTCAAGAACATTTTCAAGCTCTGACAGCAACATTAAACCTCAGAAATATCCTTTTCTATTTCATAACAAATATTGCAATGCTTTTGGACTGTTGAACTGTTGTGGACTATCTTGTTGTTTCCTGCTGTTGGTGGATAATTACTGACCCTGAGCTTCCTGGTGTTTTCATCTGTGCTTTTACAAAGCATCCTGATGTATTAATTACCACCTGAAGGTAATACTTCCAGCTTGACCAGCAATGCAGGGTGTTTATGTAAGGCAGGGGTAAAACACAGGACATACATAAAGTACATACTACCCAGTGGGCTTTTCCAGCAGGCTTAACTAAATCTGGATGGTCTGCTCAGTAGCGTTTGTACTCCCTCAAACTGTCTAAACCCTGCACACGCACTGAGAAGGTCTTCAACCTAGGGATCTTTATAATGACTCTCCTGGCCTCGGTTTGCTTTGTAACTTCAGCAGCTGACTATCTGGTAAGACATGAATTCAATCAAAGTTAGGTAGAGTGTTTGTTTCTGGTTTAAGAAAACCCAGAAAAAGGGACACTTGCCCTAAGACTTCCCCAGGTGAATTCACATCACACAATTAAACTCCTGCCTTAAAATGTGTGTGCATCATTTGCTGAGGGAACCCTTTACTTGCAACTTTTGATCCTGCAGATGGGGCCCAACAGGGAAAAGAAGATTCTTGAACATGATAAAAAGAAGCAGTAGGAAATTGTTTTAAACAGAGGTAATTTTCATCATATGTACATGCTGATTAGACTTTGGTTAAAACACGATTAAATATATCAGACAAGCTCACAGCCTAGAATTTATGTGCAAAGAAAGGGAGCCAAGTTTTCAGAACTGGGCACACAGTGCGAGGATTAATGGCAGTTCCAAGCCCGCAGGACACGGTTAGTGAGCACTGACCTGAAGCTGTTTGTGCCTTCAACTCCCTCCTTTCATGTGCACCACGGGGCATTTTCATCAGTCTTTGAGGGACCGACCTAGATGCTCGTGTCCCATGTTCTGCTCTCCTTGACCTTGTACTGGAAGAAATGGGGGGTCGCATTGAAGACTTGCAGAAGAACGTGAATGACTTGATGGCCCAAGCCGGGATTGACAGTCCTGCTCAGAAACACAGGTGAGGCCTTATTAGGGCACTAATGTTCACATGTCACATGTCCTCTGCTTTCCTCTTGAACCTTTACCCCGTATTTGTTCACTAGGGGAACTACTGCTTCTGCACTGCATGAAAACCTTTAGGATTTTAAAAATTCACAAATGCTCTTTTCTAAGTAGAACAGAAACACTCTCTCATTGTTCCTTAAAAAGTGCACATTTAAAGGAAAAACCACCATTTAAAAAGTGGATTTTATTAAAGTACTTTTCACCCTCATCGGTCAAATTAGCCTTCAATCAAAACACAAGTCACGATGAGTGAGAGATCAGGAATGATGACTAGTGGCTTCTGTTTGAGACAGTACATTCACGGAACCATTTAAAGAAGACATAGATGCATTAGGCTCTCCCCCTGGTTTACGAGCTCTTCCTGAGGGTGCCACCTCGCCCCCCCCAGAATGCAGGCATTTCTTTTCCGGTGGAATTTTGACTTCTTTTTTTTTTTTTTACTATTTTATCTTTCACTTTCATTTTATTTTTATTGAAGTTTTTTATTGTATTTGATGTACACTATTATATGTACAGGTGTTCATGTAATGTGTACAATGTAGTGACTCACAATTTTTAAAGGTTAAACTCCATTCATAGTTATTATAAAATATTGGCTACCTTCCCCAAGCTACAATGTATTTTTGTAGCTTATGTTATATAATAATTTGTACCTCCAAATTACCTAATCCTAACTGCCTCTCCCCGGCTCCCCTCTCCCCAATCATTTGTTCTCTGGATCTGTGAGTCTGTATATTCATTAGTTTGTTATGCTTTTTAGATTTCACACATACAAGTTATAACGTATATTTGTCTTCCTCTGTGTGACTTATTTCACTTAGCATAATGCCCTCCAAGTCTATGCGCGTTGCTGCCAATGGCAGATTTTCGTTCTTTTTCATGACTGAGTAGTACTCCATGGTATATATACACCGCATCTTCTTTATCCAGTCATCCGTTGGACACTTGGGTTGCTTCCCTATCTTGGCAACTATAAATAATGTTGCAGTGAACATTGGGTACATGTATCTTTTCGAATTAGCGTCTTTGTTTTTTCTGCACTTCATCTTGAAGATGTAGATAAATGCTTAGCTTCAGGTCTCAGACTGAATGTGTTGTCTGTGTAACGTACCTGGAGACACAAGCCTTATTTTATTGAGATACTCAAGCATGTTTCACTGACATAATATTCTGCTTCTGTGAGCACGCTCTAATTTTAGCTGAACAGGTAGATGCTGTTGTTTTCCTCACTTTCATTTCTCTGTCAGTTGTTATCCTGAGTCAGCTGGCAGATCACCTGTGCTTACCTTGCTGAATCAGAGCGAGTTCACTGTCAATGACTTATTTATAAATTTCTGCATCTGCTGTTCTGGTGGAAAAGATCACTGGAATCTGTCCTGGACACATGAGCTGCAGGTCTGGGGGCGCGCACTCCAGCTGTCTGCAGAATACTTGGCTCTACCCGGGTGGGGGGACTGCCTCAGACAGACCCACCTGCCCTGCCCTGGAATGCTGTCCTCCCTGCAGGTGGCGAGCACCACGTCCTCAGCGCGCTGCCCTGAGGGGGCTGGCGGCCAGGAACATGGTCCCTTCCTGTCACCACCCAGACTCCAGCGGGCTGTTTCAAGTTTGGTCAGAACCCATCTTAGGTTAGGCATCAAGTTAAATGGACAAGTAGATATCAAAACCTCACCTTTCTGATGCACATACAGCCATTTTCTAAAGCAGCATGAGAGGTCAGTTGCTGCTGCTGCCGCGAAGTCACTTCAGTCGTGTCCGACTCTGTGCGACCCCATAGACGGCAGCCCACCAGGCTCCTGCGTCCATGGGATTTTCCAGGCAAGAGTACTGGAGTGGGTTGCCTTTGCCTTCTCCTGAGAGGTCAGTTAATGCCTTTTAAATTAAAAAAGGTACCTGAATAGGTCTAAATCTGTTTGGCTAGATCTGTGCTTATTGCTTTTGCTGGGCCAGGGGTTCCTAACACAGGGCTCTTGCTGTGGATTTCGGGGGATTTGGTAAACACCCTAAACTTGTGTTCCTGCTGTGAGTAGGGGAGTCCATGAACCCCCAAACTACTGTTCCACATTCTCCTGGCTCCTGCTTGGGTGCAGCATCTGAACACCTGTCCTGCTGCAGGGAAGCAGGCAGGCAGTTGTTCCAGGAGAATGTCTTCACACTTTTGATGCGAAGCAGCATTCTGCCATTGGAAGAGCAGGCACTGCCTTTATTCGCCTTAAATTGTGCATCCGCACAAGCGTCTGACTCAAATGAGAATCATTTAACATTCAGGTTTTCTATATACTGAATTTTTCCTGTACAAAACTGTTCTAGTAATTACAGGAAAGTAAGGTACATTTTTTGTTGATAGTTTTGGAGTCCAGTTTATTTAACTGCACATTAACTGATATTTAAATCAACCATTACTTCTTTCAATTTTTTTCTTACAGACTTGAAGACAGAACAGTCATTTGAAAATATGAAAAAGTGAAAACTTTACTATAACAGGTCAGTTTTCCTCCAGAATTAAGCTCTATATAGAACTTTCTTAAGAATATCATAAGCAGTTTTCTATAGAAGTTGCTTCTTCAACATCTGCATTCTAGTCACACGATTTGGGGGAAGATTCACGTTCACCGTCCAGTCCAAGCAGACCCTGATGGTATGTTCTCCAAACCAAAGGAAAACCAGAGAAGCAGCTGATGCAGGAGCTCTGGACTGCTTCCTGGGACACCCTCACCTGCCCCGCCCCCACGCAGAGGTCGTGACCAAGGAGGTGCACAAAGATTGCACCCACCTTTATCTTGTCAGTTAGAGATGCTTTCAAGTAATTGTCAATTCACCTATCTCTGAGCCAAAGTAAAAAGAAAGCTATGATCACCTAAAACAAGGTCCATTGTAGGCTCTTATAAAAAAAAAATTATCCCTGCATATAAAAGAAATCATACTCTATACTAAAGTCAAAAGCACTTCTACAATTCAGAATTACACACTATCGATACTTTTTTCTATGCAAGCAATTTTATATAGTTCATCATATTGCTTGTAATCCAATATCCTGTTCTCATATCATAAACACTTTTCCCCATGTGCAAGTTTCATACACACTTTGTATGGTTACTATACTCTATCATGTGGCTGAAACAATTTAACCATCTCCTTAACCATTCCTTGGGGTTGAGGTTATTTCTTACTTTCTGGCTAGTATAAATATGCTTTAATGAGCATTGGCTATCTTCAAATTCTCTGCACATTTCTCTAGGGCCAGAAGTATGACCACAGGCTAAGCACACTGAGCAGATGCATGTAAGAAAGGAAGGGTCATTTTACCAACAGTAATGCAAACCCAAAGTTTAAACCCAAAGTTTTTAAATTGTATCATTTAAATTCAGTGTTCTTGGTGGTTTAAAATCATATTTCCATTTGGTTATATGAAAGATCTCAAAGCATCTTAGCTGTAATTTTAATTTTAGCAGAAACTAGAGAAAATTACTTGAATTAAAGTAAACCAAACAGATTTGCATCTCCATGAATAACACAGAACACAACTTAAAGTCCAGGATTTTTAATAAATTAAGTAAGTAGGAAAGAAAGCTTCTGTTTAGTTATTAAATAAAAACATAGACATTGTCAAAGATTTATTAACTTCTTTGCAAAGAAAGTTCTAACCTGATCCCCTTTTATTGGCTCATTTGGCCGTTTAACATCTCAATTATTCACTCAAACCACAGATATCTACCTTTAAAGAGATTACTTGGTATTTTTTAATATCATATCTGTTTCAGTATTTTCCTAATACTTTTACAAATAATTGCTATTTTCCAGCACCCTGATACATATATTTAGAAGAAATCAGAATGTTTTCACAAGAGGGAAAATAGTAGACAGATTTACATGTACTTAAATACTCTTATTCTAATCTAAATGGGATTAACACAACTTTAGTAGAAAGCAGTTTATTCATTGAATACCTAAGTAAAATGGAGTTACTTCAATATCAAATCCTATACTCTAGGATTGAATCTGTAATTTAAAACTCACTTAACACAAAGTTATGAAACTTATGAAAATATAAAGCTTAATAATAGAGTTGAATCTATAAGGCAGAAGTGCTGAAAGTTTTAAATTCTCACATTTCATTTTCTTTTTTACAATTGCCTGATCTATCATCATAGATTTTTAACTCTCTCCCCAAATCTCCTTTCAGCACTCCCGCCCAAGCTTTTTGGAAGTGAATTCCATCACCTCACACCTCCTTCCCTAGCAGACCCTCTCTGCAGCTGCTAGCTCCCCTCAACCACACCACATTCTCCAGTCCCAGGCCCTCGTCCCACCACAGGGCCTGGTTCCAAGGTTCCTTCTGGACCAGAGTCACACACACACACACACACAGACACACACACCAGTTAGCACTTTTTGTATCTGATCTCAGCTTGAACATGATCTCCTGAGAGGTTCTTTCCCTGAATGCCTGTCTGGGTCTGATGTACTTCATGTGGTCTCTGGCTGACTGTCACAGTTGTCATTTCACTTCTTTGTAATCATTTGAGTCTCCTCCACAAGGCAGCAACCGGTTTGATTTTGCTCACCTCAGCTTCTCAGGACTGACACCAGCCCTGGGACCCACGAGCTACTCAAACATTTTTTTAAATTAATGAATTTTGGGAGTTTCTAAATACTTTGCAATCTTTTCTGTGATGCTTTTTGCCCACGGAGATGTGTGAGAGCTTGATCACTTTTTGACAAGAAAACCAGAGGCCACAGGGAAGACTGGGAACAACAGCATTGACTGTAGACTGGGGTGGTGTGGGGAGGCACCGCTGATATCCTGAGGGCGCTGAGTGTTCTTTGTAAACCTTTGACAAAAAGTGTAAAAATGCCAAAAAGAATGCTAGCATCAGTTGCATTTAAAAACCACGTAAGGAAACTCTTCAAAATGATACCCACCTAAAGCAAGTCTTCCAAAAGGTCCCAGTCTGATCTTCAAGACCTCATATAGTCACAAGAAGTCTGAGGAGGTCTTGAATATACACCCTGCGTTTTAACTAAGCAACCCAAGAAACCACACTTTGAGTGTGGTTTCAGAAACATCAGCAGTGCGGTTTTCTAGGAGAGTTGTAGACAGTAGATGCTTTGATTCAGTCGGTGCCTGCTCCTCATCTTTTACTGGTTCGGCACAGACAGAACTGGGCAGTCTAGCCTATGGACACTTGGATGCCTACGTAACAGCCTGTTGCAAACAGATGGCTGCTGTTTGTTATACTGTTTCAGATCTTTGTTATTAATGTCTTAAAACTATGTAAATAACACTATACCCCAGTATCCTTCTTTACCTAGTTTTCCATTCAGTGGTTTGAGATTTGCCTGTGTTAATACGTGTAGGTCTAGATCAATGTAACTAACTGCAATATAATAGTCCTTTGACTATTTATCATTTGTTTCCAAATAATGCTGCAATAAATAACTGCAGAGACATCACTTTGCCAACAAAGGTCTGTCTAGTCAAAGCTATGGTCTTTCAGTAGTCATGTATGGATGTGAGAGTTGGGCAATAAAGAAAGCTAAGTGCCGAAGAATTGATGCTTTTGAACTGTGGTGTTGGAGAAGATTCCTGAGAGTCCCTTGGACTATAAAGAGATCAAACCAGTCAATCCTAAAGGAAATCAGTCCTGAATATTCATTGGAAGGACTGATGTTGAAGCTGAAGTTCCAATACTTTGGCCACCTGATGTGGAGAATTGACTCAAGGGAAAAGACCCTGATACTGGGAAAGACTGAAGACAGGATGAAAGAAGATGAGATGGTTGGATGGCATCACCAATTCGATGGACATGAGTTTGAGCAAGCTCCGGGAGTTGGTGATGGATAGCGGAGCCTGGCGTGTTGCAGTCCATGGGGTCGCAGAGTCAGACACGACTGAGCGACTGAACTGAACTGAGTGCTGCAGTACTCTCATGTCTCGTGTGTGTGCTTGTCTTTCCAGTTTACTGATTACTTACTCTATTACTGAGTATATTCTGTACCTCGTAGGTTGGTTGCCTCTGTGTCAGCTGCCTTGTCTAATTCCTGGACTTTGCAATAAAACTCATCCTGGGAAGAATGGGAAACAGAAGTCTCTTTGTGCTCAGAGAACTGGGGCTATCATCACCTTTCTCTACTAGTTCAACTTGAAAAAAAGCAACATGAACAGCAATGAGGCAAGGTTTGATAGCCCTACAGATCTAGGTTTCAAATTCATGTCCTTTGCAATTAGTTGTGGTGGTTTAGTCACTAAGTCATGTTTGACTCTTGGGACCCCATGTACTGTAGCCCACCAGGTTCCTCTGTCCATAGAATTTTCTAGGCAAGAATACTGGAGTGGGTGAAAGTGAAAGTCGCTCAGTCATGTCCGACTCTTTGTGACCCAAGAGTCTTCTTCAACACCACAGTTCAAAAGCATCATTTCTTTGGCACTCAGCTTTCTTTATAGTCCAACTCTCACATCCAGAGATGACTACTGGAAAAACCATAGCCTTTACTAGACGGACCTTTGTTGGCAAAGTCCCTATATCTGTTTCTAAAAGCACATACTTGTGTGTGTGTGGCTTTTTAAAAATTTCATTCTTTGTTAAGTACACTCATGTTTCAACAATGAGTCAATCTGATAAGGCAGTGAGCCTTTTCACAGCAGAGGGCCCCCAGGGAATGCTGTGACTGAGTACAGCAGGTGTCAGACAGCAGACGCTACCATCCTCTTCACGCGGGACAGCACTTGCCCAAGGTTCCCAGCAAGCGATGGAGGACGGCTGTGAAGCCAGGTGTGGGCTCCAGGTGTGCTCCCCAGAGAGTTCCTGTGCTCCTCCACGCCAGGTGTCCACTCTTGACTTCGTAGTCTGTGTGCACTGAGATGTGCCCAGGAAGATCCCAACTAACAAATGCCGCTGGGGTAAGCGATTTAGGAGAGGAACTTGAGATTGTGATGAGGAAAGTAGCTACATGGACTGAAGGGTCTGGTTTCCACGTAAAATACACTGTATTAGATTTGATCTTAGGAAGTATAAGAATCAGCTCTTAGTCTTTAAAGGGAAGACTGCAAAAATCATTATTTTATCATACTGTTCTTATAACCAGAATAAAATATAATTTTTCGTTAAGTGTGTATTCTTCCTGAACTTAAGTCTTTGGTTCTGTTGAGAGTTTAGCTGTGTCCCTGACAATTCCTGCACTGGAAGTCCTCACCCAAAGACCTCAGAATGTGTCCTTGTGGAGATGGGGCTGTTGCAGACGTCATGAGTGGAGATGGTCATGCTGAAGCAGGGCAGCCCTTACCCAGTGGGACATCTGAACAGACACCCACACAGGGAGAACACCGCGTAGGATGAAGGCTGGGACTGTGGTGAAGCATCACCAGCCAAGGGACCGTTAAGACGCCAGAAACCACCAGAGCCAGGAGAGGGGTGGGAATAGACTCCCGTCAGGCCCTGGAGGACCAGCCTGACAGCTGGATCCACCTCTAGCCTCTGGAACCATGAGACAGTGAGCCTCACTCAATGATAAAGAGTCAATTCTTGACTGCCAAAACCATTAATCTATACACTAAGTTTCTTAGTAAATAAACAATTTTGACCATCCCCATCACTTTGTATTTTATTTATTTCAGTTAGATATTTACAGATATTTGCTGATACAAAAATACAATGACCAGGCAGACTGAAAGGCGAGGCAATGCCTCCCACACTGCAAAACCCTCCAGCTCCTTGAGCTTTCCCAAACGCTTTCTCAAAGGCTTTAAATAGTTGAAAATACTTCCCCATGACAATGACCCCAGGGCACCATGTGCACCGGGTGGACCGAGCTCAGTATCTGTACTTGGTGGAGTAGTCCTTTGGAGACACGACCAGCCCACGGCCCTTGCGGGCCCCCCGGTACACTGTCTCGATGATGTCGATCATCTCCTGCTTGTCCTCCATGGCCCAGTTGATCTTGTTGTTGTTGCCGGTGCCCAGGTCGATCATGATGTGCTTGTTCCTGTAAGAGGGAAGGGGTCAGTGTTCACAAGAATCCCTCTGAAAAAGAACCGCATGGAAACAAGCCTTACATCCCCACCTCCATTACAGGTTCTTGTCAAACATCAGCACGATCAAGAGGATCCACCATGGTTTAGAAGACTGGAAACCATCTAAATACTGTTAAGAAAGACACTCGCGTTCCTCCTGTGTGCTCTCTAATTCCTTAGGACAAATAAACCTACAGGGCAATCAAGGGTCGAAGGACACAGCCTCAGTTACCTGGAAAGCCAAACAGTTTTCCAGGGGGTTGTAGTAACTTACCTGAAAAAGCAACGTGTGAGTTTCTCATGGTGTTCTTGTGAGCACTTAGTGCAGATGTTACCGAAAGTCGTCCTGACTGTGAAGTGAATGATATTTTGCATTCCTCGATTCTCCATAGATGGATCTTTCAAGAAGCTACTTTTTAAAATGAACTTATATGTGCACTTCATAAAATAAAGATAGTAACTCTTGCTGTACCAGCTGCACTGATGGTTATTGATTTAACTTTCTGTTTCTGAGAGGTTATGCGTCTGGCTGCCGGCTGCTGTTTCCTGGCGTGGGCTCCACCTGGGGCTGCAGTGAGGTTTCCTTCCAGTCAGGGCAAGCTTCCAGGAGGCAAACTGGACGTCATTCTCCTGCTGCAAAAACTTGCTTCCAGGAGTCACACTGGCCCAGGAATCCGGGCATCTGGGCCTGGCCCTGCCCTCCCTTCCATACCTGCCACTCCCCACCCCACCTGTGTCACCCAAGACCATGCAGGTCCCCACACATGTGGGCCATTCTGCCCTGTGCCCCTGCTGGGCTCAAGCTGAACTTACACAGCAGCCTCTACACACTCCCTGCCGCCCGATGACAATCAGTATTTGTGCCTCTGCAAATACCTGCTGCAATACTGTGACTTATAGGAAAAATATATATGTGGTCACTCAAAAGATATACTCTCCTATGTATTTGGTTTTACCCACAGTTCCTGGCTTAATACTGCCAAAACCTTTGGAACTGTCCACAGTAAGAATGATGGGATATTTGGACTCTGGTCCTCAGTTCCTGAAGACACTTCATGGCCATAAAGCTGAAATGGGTGCCTTGCTACTCCTAGACACCTCTTCTGTTACAAGGGAGCTCATGTTAACGGAGGCCACTTCTAGATCCTACGTCTGCTTGTGGGTGAGAGGAAGCCGCTCCCACCGGCACGCACACACGCTGTCACCTGTCACTTCTTCCTGGTTTCTGGTGCTGTCTGCTCTGCTGTTGCCATCAGGGGATGTTCTGTGACAGCAGGCACCCTGTCTGATCTGATTCATGTCCCAGCATAGACATAAAACTGAGCAGGACTCTATGTGTATACATATTTGGTGAATAAATTAACTAAAATACTGTTTCTACTTGACTTAGAATTCTGAGTTGCAGGAACAGCAGAAGGCTTTGTCTCCTTTTCCGAGTGCAGCATCAGTTCTAAAATATCAAAATACACACCCAGCCCCAGCACCACTCAACCTCTTCCCCCAACAAGGCATCTCCTGCCCCTCAAGGCTTGTAACACGCAGTGGAAGGCAGGATCCAAGACGGGAGGACTTTGGGAGAATTCTGAGGGGTAGACAGAAAAGACCCAGACTGCCTTCAACAGCCTGTCAGTAGGAACAAGGACTGGGAGGAGGCGGGGATGCGTTACAGAGAGTGGAGGATGTCTGCGACACTCCAAAGTGACGGAAATAGATACCAGCTGAGGACACCTAAGTGTCTAGAAGGTGCTGCCGAGTGTCATGCTGCTTACAATAAAAGGAGAAGAGAGACAAACTAGTTTAAGATCTGTTAACCAGAAAAATTTCTCGGCCTCTCCAGATAGTAGAAGGTGCTGAAATCCAGAAACGGCTGCTCAACTCTTGACAAAGAGGCCACACAACCTTCTGCAGAAACCTAGGAAAGACCTAAAGTCAGAGTGTCCAGTCACAGGACAGGCTCTTCCCCGAGGAAACAGCTGTTGGGCAGAGGGCACCCAGAGCCCAGGACAGGAACCCTACTTGCTCAGGCTGAAAGGGAAGAGCATGCAGTGAGAAGAGCTGACAAAACCCCAAAATGCTGTTGGCAGGAAGCAGTTGAAAAATGAACCAGCTGCAAACGCCCTTCATGAAAAGGCAGAAAATAAAAACCTGCCTTGGGCCAGGAGGACGACCCAGTGCTGCATCAGAGCCCCTCCTCCCCAGGCCCCTCCTCCCCATCTTCCCTTTTTGTAAGCCAGAAGACTGTTTCTCATGACTGTTCACACTGCGTCCTGGAGGAGGGGCCACAGATAAGGAACAGCCTCCAAAGCTGGCCAGAGAAGCCTCATCCACACCTGATTCTGCAACGGGAGCTGAGGGTGGGGGCCACGGAGGGGGCAGGACATGAATCTCTGCAACCGGGGGTGGGGGTGGGCCTAGCCTGGCACGCTGCAGTGCACAGAACCCTAAAAGAGCCCCTATCTCCCGCCTGAACCCTCGAAACCG